CCAAGCCAGCTCTTAACCATCGCGCCACTCGGCCGGCCCGAAACCGTTGGCCTTGAGCTCTGCGCCCTGGGCTCGCGCTGTGTGAACTGCGGAGTGCGCGAGGGAAGCTGGCGGAAGGCGACCTCACCCACAGTTGCTCCTTTAAGGGTTGTGCCCCTTCCGTTTCTGCCTGATCCGTTCACTCCCAGGTGCTTTCACATGGCTGTTTCTGTATTTTGTCCAGAGCTTATTATTATTGGCAAAAGGATTCATCTGATACAGATTATTCTGTCATTACTCGAATCCAGAAGTCCCAATCAATAAGGGTGTTATAGATAAAAAGACAGGTGACACAGTAGCTTGGTTTGCATGGGACGCAGAATTAGACTGGAAAATGCATTTCCTCTTGTTGTCTTTCTGCACTGAGAGGCCCTGCTTTACATGAAACGGCTCTCAGGGCTGCACGTGTGCTGGTCCCGGGTCACAGACGTGTGGGAGCGCTCGCAGAGCCATCAGAAAGCCGCATGAACCGGATGCGCTCTGGACAGAGCGTGCAGCAGCCTGCTGCGGCGGGCACAGCTGGCCCTTCCTTTGTTCCTTGTGCCCTGCGAGTGAGGGGACGCTGGACGAGCCAGGCTTTCTCCCCAAGGGCGCCCACTTCGCGCCCCACCCTGCAGGCTGCGTGTCAGGCACCAGTTGCCCAGCACACACTTCACGGTCTGTCTGCTGTCTTTCGGCCTCCGGGTCTGTCCGTCCCTCTGTCTCTCGCGCACCCTTCTTACCTGCCCACCATACACCTGTCACTCCACGTCTCCCTGGATGTGGCCTGGCTGTTGGACTCGTCCCCTCGCTGGGCCCACTGGCCTTCTCTGATTTTCCTTTACTTCTCATGTCCAGCCAGTGATGCACAGAAAGGCAGGTGTCAGTGTATTTCCTGGGCGACTTTTGCTGTTTTTTGGGGGGCTATTTGTTGTTAATTTCTAAAGCAGAGGAATTAAACATTTTCTCCACTAAAAATACTAAGTTGCCTTTTTACCCTGCACCATCGATTCTGTCCCCTGGCAGGAAAAACAAAAGATGGCTTCCTGCCCGCCAGCCCCTCCCTAGCTCCTCCTGTGCGTCTGATGTTATGATAATGAACATGATATAATAGAATTCACTTTTCTTTGTCTTCTCCCATAAATGTCCTTTGTCCGCCTGGAGGCTATTCACCCGCTCTCCTGTCACTCTCCCCAGCGTACTTCTTAGGAAGCAAAAAAGAGAAAGTCCGGTCTGCCCATTATTGAGGGGGCAGCTTCCTTTGTGTGGCGCCCGGCCCCTCCCCAGGGGCTCTGCTTCCTGTCGGGCTGGCGGTGAGAGTTCCTGCCTAAACCCAGAGCTGCCGGGATGAAGGAAACCTGGGTTTAGTTTTTCACCCTGCTGCTCTCTCCCCCCGGCCCCCCCCCATCTTTACTTTTTCTGCAGGACTGTTGCATTTTCCTGTTAAACATCTATTCGTGCGTTTGATTCACTTTCTTTTCTTTCTCCGCAGGTTTTGCATGCAGAAATGCGTTAGCCTGGTGCCTGGAGTCACACTGGACCTGATAGAAAAGTGAGTACGGTGGTGAGGGCGTGGCTTCCTGGGTGGAAGGGGGCGGGGAGATGCGTCTCGCTTTTCCCGTTTGGTTCTCAGAAGGGCTTCTGCCAGCAGGATGCCTCCCTCCATGTGGGTCTGCTCTTTTGAGTTTGGATGGTTGCATTGATGCTCAGCCTGGGACAAAGCTCAGTGCCGGGCCAGGTTAAAAGAAAAAGAATAAAACGCTGAAGCCTTTTCACATGTAACGCCTCCCAGCGCTGAGCCAGAGCAGAGACCTGTCCTCCACGTGCAGGTCATCTCCGTCCCACGCGCAGTGGTCAGTGAGGGCGCGGGTTCATGTCTGTTGGACACGCGTCCATCCATGTTCCCTCGGCGTGTGGTGACACACAACACCGGTAAGCAGTTGCCTGCCTGCGTCTCCTCACAAAGCTGCTCCAGGCGCGCACACACTCTAGTTCTCTGCCATCGTGAGCGGGGTGCGGTCTGCTGACAGACAGCTCTAAGCGTGCTTCGAAAACCCTTACAGATGCTGAACACAGCGTCATTATCAAGAAATGTCACTTGGAAAAGAGTTTTTTAAAATAAGAAAGGACTAGGTCTGTGTGGTCGGCCAGCCTGTTTGGTTGCTTCCTCGACAAGATTCCCATCAACCCCCTTCTCCGGTCTCTGCTGGGCTCCATCTCTGGGTCTTCTGTCCTTCCATTTCTAAGTTAGGGTGCACTCCATCACCGTACGTATAGGGCCATCTACATAATTTCTCAAGGAAACCACGACCTTAAGATTTCACGGCTACATTTTATCACGGTTGCGTTGCTTCTCACCTGTTCAGACCATTCCTGGTTTGAAATTTCTTTGATGCTGTTTTAGTTTGTTCCCTGTGAAAATCTCCAGAGCCCCTGCGAGTGGGCTGAGCTGTGTTCCTCCTCTCCCATCAGGCAAGGCGGGCAGCACAAAGCTCGCTGCCAGCCGCACCTCCCTGTCCCTGTCCATCCAGGATGGCCGGCTGTGTGCTGTCCTGGACCCTCCCGGTCACTCAGCACAGGTCCCCCACCCCCCGCCCCCGCTGTGTCCTGTTGTTGAGTCACGTGGGCCTAGACAGACAGCGTTACGTGTGTGCCCTGAGTTCTCAGAGTAAAAAGAGCTTTGGAACTCACATAATTAAAAACATATGTATACTTACAGTCACTTAGATAAGCCCCAGATTTTACCAAAGAGGGACCTGGCGTTCAGTGTAGCCCAGCTTTGTAGGTGGGATTTCCACCTGCAGAAGCGGGGCCGGTCGGGGGCCAGGTCTCTAGATGTCTCTCTGGACCCCTCCCCACACACAGGCCCCCCTCGTCCCCAGACTTTAGTGTCAGGACAACAAGCTTCCATCCTGCCACTTTCTCAGGTTTAAAATGTGCACAGCAACTTGACACCCTCAGCACCATCCACCAAAGGAAAATGTTGGTAAATTGGGCGTCATCAAAATTTAAAATACTTGCTCTCTGAAAGACCCCACTAAGAGAGGGACAAGTGAAGCTGAGACTTGGAGGAAACGCCTGCGAATCACATAGCTGACCAAGGACTTGTGTCTGGAATACTTGGAGCTTTCTCAGAACTCAAAAGTTAAGAAAAACAACGCAATTTAAAAACTAGACAAAAGCTGCGAAGAGACACTTGACCAAAGAGGACGTAAAGATGGCCAGTCGGCACATGAAAAGGTGCCTGAGTCATTCCCAACATCAGGACACACAAGTTAAGCCTGGAGGTACCACTGCACACCTACCTGGCGGGTTAACTGGAGGAAAAAGGTGACAGCACAAGGGCTGGGGACCTGAGACCGGCGGCACAGGAAGCTCACACTGCAGTCGCAGATGGGGCGGCCGCTCTGGAAGGGGGCAGTTCCTTGTACCTGTAAATACACCTGAACGCATGACCCGGTAAGCCCTCTCCTGGGGGTTTGTCCAGAGGAAAGAAACCGTTCACACAGAAACCCATGCAGGAATGTCTGTCGTCGCCGCATTCAACATCACCCCAAACTGGAAACAACTGAAGTGTCCTTGGGGAAGGGGCGTAAATGCTGGTGTGTGCCAGCAGGAGAGGGGGGCCTCTGATCCCCAGGTGTGGAGAGACGGCTTCCAGCTCTGAAGATGGCACATGGTCCGGTTCCCTCCGTGGGGCATCCTGGAAGAGACAGGCCTGCAGGGTCGGAGGGCACAGGAGTGGATGCCGGGGCTTACCGGGTGGGTGGAGAGCGCATCGCTATAAAGAGCCACCGAGAGGGAATCTGGGGGCGATGGCGTGTTCTGTGTCCTGGTGGTGGATGTGGTTACACATCTGCACACACTGAAGTCGTAGGACTGTCCCCCCCAAAAGCCAATTCACTGTATGACAACTCAGGACATAAAATCAATGCATGATGTGGAGAAAAGCCGTGTGAGAGAGTGTGGGTGGGAAAGGCTGAGGGACGGTCTGGAGGGGGCGGGCGGAAACGGGCGGTGACGCGGAGGGGCAGTGGCCTCCCTCCAATGACGACCTGGCTCTGGTGTTTCTGGGAAGAATCCGTCACTCTCATCATTAAAACTGGTTGATGAGGATTGAAAAATAGAAGAAATACTCGTATATATTAAGATTTTAGTATTTTTCATCAAGCATGATTTTCCTAAACTCTGGTTTGCAGCCACCAGTGTCCTTTCCGGAAACGCGTAGTACTTGTCCCCTCCCCAGCGCTGAGTGACGCTCTCAGCCCAGAAGGCCACACGTTGGCTTCTGAAGGTTAATGTACGTTGTCCCATCTCTTCTGTCCCCGTCTCCATGCCACGTGGGCTGCCACGTCGGTCAGGTGCTGCGAGGTAGAGGGTGTGTGTGTTGATGTAAAAAGAAAAATGCAGCTACCTGTCACTCCCAGCAGGCAGTTTTCAGACTGCGTCCTAAGTGGGGTGGGGGCGGGGAAGGGGTGGTGGAGACACTGGCCGTGGGAGCCGGACAGGCGAGCGGTTCCTGACCTCTCCCTTAGGAGCTACGCTCGCAGGCCCGCCTGGTCACCTCCGTGTCTGTCCCCGTCCGGTGGGGGAGAAGTGAACGGTGCTGGTGGCTCTCGGTGGGAGTCAGCTGCCCCTACCACCAGTGCCCCTGCTGCCCGAAGCTGCAGGCAGATACGTGTTCCCATGGCTTTAGGTTTCAGGTAGGACGAGGGAGGGAAGTGTCTCACACCTGCGCTGCTCACCGCCAGGCGGAGGTTGCCCACGTGGGACTTGCGGTAAAAACAGCCAAGCCCAGCTCTGCCGGTCAGGAGAACCCCAGCTTCAGAGGGCTTTGCGTTTTGGAAAAGCTTCTGGTCCTGACTGACTGGGACAGGCTGCAGGTGTCAGGCTGAGCACACTTCTCCCTCGGGCAGCGAGGACGGAGCCGCGAGGGGCGGGATTGTGTGGTGCTGACGGAGAGGGTGAGAACGAGTCGTCTTAGAAGCTCGGGTCTTGGTTCTGAACGACTTCTTGCGGCGCGTGGACGGGGCCCGAGCCCGTGTTCCCTGAGGACAACTCAGCAAAAGTGGGGCCGTTGCAGCACCGAAATCAGCATTTGCTTCTGAGGCCCCACGTGGCTGCTCCCTGGGTGCCCCAGAGGTCACGCTGGGTGTGGGCGGCTGCATTATGTTTACTGTTTTGTCCGGGACAAATTCCAAACTCTAGAATTCTACACACCGGAAACCAAGCCCCAGCTGAAGGTCTAGCCGACCCCGGTCACCGCTGTTCGTCTGCTTCTAAGGAATGTGAGGGTTTCATTCCCGCCGCTCCGGGAAGATTGCCCCATTTAAAAGAAAATGCTGTGACTCATTTTTTTTTAATATTTAGATTTTTGCACAAGTGTGCTCTGCAGTCTATAGAAAGAAAATTTTCATTAAGCAAATCTGATTTTGCAGTCCTGCCGCTCGGCCGAAATGCAGCCCATCCATGTTTAATGGAGTCTCCTAGGCAGCTGTGCTTTCCGTATTCCGAGAACGTTCCAGGAAAAACGGTCTCATTATTTTCACCCATCTTGTTATCATTTTCTGGAGATTTCTTCTCAAAATACGGAGCCCTCGGTTACAGCTTTGGTTCTGGATTATTCCCCCTGGGCTGGTTGGTCTCACTCACTGCACCGGGGCCTCTTGGGGCTCCGGGGGGCTTGTAACCAGCTCGTCGTAATGTCACCCTGCGTGTCATCGAAGGCCAGTCCCCTGGGAACGCTGTCGGTGACAGTTCAGAGCCACACTGTCCCACCCCAGGTAGAACCTGGAAGTGTTTCTTTTTTAAAAATTTATAAATAGGTGATGTTTGGCAAAGCCACTGAATATTTCAAAATACTTAAGTTTTTTAATGGTTTCAGAGATTTTAATAAAATTAATTGCACAATATTGACAAAGCTGTGGGAATGGTGGTGGGTGAGATCTGAGAGCCCCGCTTCCTGTGACAGTCTCCGGTCCCTTGGCCACGTCTGCGTTAAGCTGACAGAGGGCATAGCTGTGTGGCCATCCCTGTCCTATCTGCACATGGCACGCGTGGGGCCCTCGCCTGCGGAGCTGGGGTACCTCACGTGGGCGTCCAGGGAGCTCGTCTGAACTGACCGTGGGTCCAGGTTAATGGAGGGACGATGTGTTTTTAGTTTCACTTATAGGACCAAACAGAAATCGTGTCTTTTGCTCAATTCCTTGGTCCCGTTCCACTATGTCTTTGGCAGTTCTTTGTCCCGATCAAAATCCCAAGCACTAGGTGGGGGGACCTCGTTAGCCAGGAAGCACCTGAGAGAGTATGTCCATGCTCTGCAGAGACACGTGAACAGACAGATGTTAGGGCCCTGCTGGTGACACACACACATCGCATTAGCGGGGCTGTCGCTGGAAGGGTGGTGAGTTTTGCTGTTTAAGGATTCGGAGCACTTAGTTTTGTGTGTCGTTCTATTCTCGTTTCAGCTCACCACATGGAAATTGTCCCACTTGAGAACCCTTTGTCACCTCTCAGTGTGAAGGTGACTCTGGTCACTGTACCCACCTGACT